AATTTAAATGATTGAGACTTTGTGGATGCACTTGATACTGACGTGAGGGGTGTGATGTAATAAACAATCTTAAAGGGCTGTGGTCAAAAGATTATGTTATGTTGCTTCCATCTTAAAACAGCTGCCTGAGAGAAAATGTTTTCTAGCAAATAGAATACTGCATGCATAAACAGGGCAGAGTTAGCCTGAGTCTAGTCTTACTATTTCTTAAGTACTTTGTGTAGCTGTAGTATTTTCCTTGCATTCATTCCTTGCTTCTTGCATGTTTCATTTGATAGATGACGGTGCTTGCAAAGAAATTTTAGTTATCCCTTCTGTTTCTCATATTCTTGAGGTTACAGGTAAAGGTTTAAAAATTATCTATCAAAAAGCGTATTTAAACTGGTGATGTTTATGTAAAAAGAAATCTTCAAAGGTACATGTTATGACCTCGAAGTTATGGCTGGGTAGGTTCTCAGGTAAGTTCAGATACTTTTGTAATAAGAAATTCTTTTTTATATGTGGTTTTCTAACAGCTCAGTGGTTTTAATATATATGAAGCATGATATGGTTAAGATGTGATGTCTTGTTTCTGCGTTTCTCAATACAGTAAGCTGGCATTTATTTATTGTTTATCCAGCATCACAAATGTAAAAATGAACTCACTGAGTAAGTTCATGGACTCTTTCTGCACAACACTGCATTTTAAAATTGGGCATAACAAGAAGTTCAAAAACAAAGCAAAGGAAGTGGGTGAAAATGTGATTTGGAGGAGTACTGGGAATTTGTAGATTAGATAAAAATGATTGCTTGAGTTTCTTAGAGGAAAAAAAAAAAAATTGTTTGCCTGGGATGCAACCTTGACTAAATGTCAAAGTTCTGAACTGAACAAATCCTGGCAGTCAAGTTGAGAAGCTCATGAGATTAGCCTCATGTTAGTATGTTAGTGGAAGATCAGCATACCACCAGCAATAGACCTAGACAATAGTATTGAGAGCAGGGCATTCATGAGAGCAGGGGCTATGTTGTATGGAGGACAGCTGGCTCTGTAATGACCATGAGAGGCACCACGCGTGCCCTAACACATGGTCTCTCTGCTTTGGTGCATCTCCCTTACAACTCCATGCTCTCACCTGGAAGACCAGAACAGGAAAATCCTGCTACTTTGTACATTATCAGTGGCAGAAGCACAGACTGAAGAAGGTTGCCTCTTCTGGCCAGAGAAAGCAGCCTGCAATGCTTAACAGTATGACAGATGGCTCTGCTTGGGTGGCATGGGGACTGTTGCATTTCTGCCTGGCCAGTGTTAATGGTGGGCTTGGAAGTGGTGTTTGGAGTAAGCTGTTGTCTGTCTAAAGCTTTGAGCCACTTTCAGATGGATTAAGGTTATGACTGAAGCCTTCAAAATTTAGTGAACTCGTGATGAAATCAAAGCCAAGATTGTAATGGCATTAGAGAATACCAAGACACAGGGCCTTCTTTGGGAAGCAGTAGTAGCAACAACAAAATGGTTGTTCCTGGGTCAAGAGAAGAATAGATTATTTGGAAAGGCATGTGAAGAGGAGAACAAAGAGACCATGGATATGTTTTCTCTAAATGAGAAAACAATTGTAATAAATGCAAACCTAAACAAAAATACAGTCTATTTCTCAATATTGCTTTTCTACATTAAGCAGTCGAACAAAGCAGGGTGTTGCAATCTAGCAGTCAAGTTGCTGTAGGGATACAATTATATATATTTTTAAGTAGTTTGACTGGAAAAAGACATGGTCTGTGTGGTGATATCTGAAACATGGTCTCTGCTATGAGGAATTGTAAATACTCTGTTCTATGTAAATCTTGTTGTATGCTCTTAATCTAATAGTCATAGAACAAGAAATCTTGAATAGAAGTAATTTTTAGCTACTATGGGAAAGCTTTTGTTTATTTGTTTACCTAATGGTATTACAGTTTTTGCTGAAATGTCTGAAAGACTTGATGTAGGCTTTATAACAATAAATTATTCTTATAACATTTATCTTTTTTGGTATTTCTGACTGAATTTATTAAAATAGTGTTGCAATTCCTTATTATTTTCCCTAATAATTCCTTGAATGATATATATCTTCCACTTTTGTACAGCATTATGTAAGTAGTGGGTACTGAAGTGCATATTATTACTTTAAAAACTCTGGGTGACAAGAATTAATTACAATTCTAAATTATTCCATAAATCTATTTTACAGTGGGAGCTTTAGTGAAATGCTGGCACTGGGTAATTAGCTGGTGTTAATCTCTGTCTCTGGTTTTGGGTAGTCCAAAGAAGATTTGATATTTCCTTTCCTGCAATAAATAAAAACAGTTTCCAAACTGTCAGAAAATAACAGTAGTTCTTAAGGGCTAATCATTACCAGCCTTTGTCATGGGGTTGTAATTGTTTCATGAATTCTGCTACAATCAGGGAAAAGTATGCTTAAGTGCCAATAAAAGTTTTCATGCTGCTTTGATTTCCTCCTGCCTCATCTTCCTCCTCCCAATTTATGGCTTTGTTCTGCTGTCTCTGTTACTAAGCAACACTGTACATGGTGTTCATGCAAATTACTGCAAATTTTCTGATAGTGAGGCAGAATAACACCAGGTTAATTTCCTGATTAATATATGCTATGAAGACGCCCACTATAGCAGATTCATAGCATAAGGATTTCTTTTGTTACCTTTTAAGTTGTCTTGTCTGTATCTATTACAACACTTCCAAGTATCTATTTGGACCAAATTCTTGCTTCCATCATTTTGACTCTGTTTTGTGTGGAGCAACCCAGCTGATTGCACAGTGTATATGCTGTGATAATGCAAGTAGGTTTCTTGTGGCTGCATGCTATATTTTGATCCATATGCAGGAGGAGATGAAGTGATTGTTCAGGTGCTGTTTTTGCTCTGCTTTTGAAATTAAAGGTGCATATGAGATTCTTAAAACCGAGAGTTGTCTTTTCATTCAAGCTAGTGGCAAAAATCCAGCTGACATAATGTGAATGGGTTTCAACCGGTGTTCATGCTTGTGTGATCAATTTATTTTGCACACCATGGTACCACTCCCATAGCAAAGCTCTTGTGCATCACAGGTGACCGCATGTTTTTCTCTTTTTCAATAATCTTAAAAATGCAAAGTCTCGTTTAACAGACTAGCAGTTATAATCATGCCCAATGACTATTACAGCAATACAGTTTTAGATGGAAATAAAGCAAGCAGATTGTAGTACTGCATTATAGAAATCTTCAGAGCAGTTTTCAGACTGTCATGTTTGCTTGCTAGAACTGTGACAGGATTATGGCTCATGTTTCCAGAACTGCTTTCACTTCACTTCTCTAAATCAAAGGCCAGGCTTGCTATTAGAAGTTGGAATTTGAAAATTTAAGTGTAGAATATTAGAGGGTTTAAAGTGCACTTAAAAGCATGTTTGCAACTTTGATTACTGTAAAGCCTGAAGATTTATACTTTTCAAATTGCCTGAGGTAATATCAAGCCTCCAGACAACTTCTGCATAGATAGGTTCCTGATTTAAAATGTGCCCATTTTTAGTGCAGTGAAAGTAATAGTGTGTAATGCAGCTCTAGGAACTACATCTGCATTGACCCATCTTCAAATGTTTCTAGTTCTGTTTTACTTCTTCCCCTCAGCTTAAAATACATCTACTGTTACTTCTCCTTCAGAGGCATTCTGAAGGAGAATGAAACGTTGTAATGCTTGTCAGCAAGATGCCCTCAAATGCATGTACAATAGTACAATGGACCAGAAAAATAGTTTATTTTTTTAAAGTAATCATATTAAAAGTTTAGTCATAAATTGCAATTCAAAATTTGTGCATAACAATGTTTGAATTTTTTAACTTGTGTCGTCCCCCCTCACCCCCTTTTTGTCAGAGAGCTTCTGAGAGAATTGCACTGTGCTTTTGGAAAATCAAGTATTTCCCAAATTTAAAGCATATAGAGAAAGTCTTAGATTCCCCTCTTTTCTCTGAAAACATGCATTTGAAAACAGCATAGGATCAATATGGATATGTAGCACATTCTTTGTACTGTCATGTGTATTCTTCTTCATTGCTGTGGTGAATGTAACAGCTACACATGAATTTTCTCTGTATTAGGAGACCAGACTGTAGAGAAAGCAACAGTTAAGTGTAGATATGGTTAATTAACAGGGCTTGGCTAAAACCTTAAAACCTTAAACAAGCGCATATTTGCAGCCTGCTGGAGCGCACGTGGTGTGTGCTGGATGGCAGTCAGTGTTATAATGCACTACAGCAAACACTGCAGGTATGTCACTGTAAGTGAAATTTAGGGATGACCCTACCTACAGCAGTTTTTTCAGGATGCCATTGCCTCTACGGAGTTATTGATGAGTGAACTTTATTTGTGGTGGGTGAAACTAGACTTAACATGTGCTGAGCATGCTGTTACTCGGTACAAGTGCAAGTGTTGTTGTTGCTTGTAGCTGGAAGCTGTGGAGCTCTGCAGTGTTGATCAGCTTCTCCTTTGACATAGGTGGATCATCAATCAAAAGATGTGACAGGAGAGATAAAGGCATATTTCGTCATGGAATAGCCTTGTCAAAATATTTGAATTAGCTTGGTAGAAAACTTAGCCTTCAGACAGCTCCAAGATAAGCAGTGAAGTGTAAAGAAAAAATTTTATCTTGCATGTTAAGTTTGCAATCTTCCTTTGGGCTGGAGGTAAGAGGTTAAAATTGGAATATGCTTTTTAAATGTACTGCATACTTTTCTGGAGTCTTGACAGTATCATGGTTGAGTGCCCCGTTTATATCCAGCACCTATTTGTGGGTCACAACAAGGAATATTGATGTTGTTTTGGAGCCAGTCTACTCAGCTGCTGAAGCATATGGGATATCCACATTAGCAGTTAAGCCCCACAGGAAAACTGAAATTAGATGCTGTAAGAGAGTACAGGTAAAAGAATTGTAGGAGCATAACCCTTGACAGAATATTATCTAGATTCAAGCAATAAGTACAATGTAATTTTCCAGTAAGTGTTTTAAAGTTTTCTTTAATTAACGGGAATTGATTCACAAGCCTTGATCAAAACAAAATCACATTACAACTTCAGAATTTTTAGGTGGTGAGTTGTAGGACAATGTTTGTTTTCACTAGGAATCCAGTGTTCTTGTCAGACCCTGCACTTTGTTCTGCTACTGATGTTGGGAAGTAAAGCTAAAAACACATTTACTTTTTGGTCTGATGAAAAACAAAACTTGGAAGAAACAATCTAACCATATTCTGTGAAGATTAATTTGAACCAATGCTGTTAAATATATTTTAGATTAATTTTTCCAATATTTCAAAATATCATCATTCTGATGTAGGTGTTTGTGGCAAATGATTTACTTTGTTTTGCAAAATTCAGTGAGAGAAAAACCTGTCTGAAGTTTGCAAAATCTTTCTAAAACAGAGCATTGCATATCTGCTGTTCACTCTCATATAAAATGTACAGATGATGTTATAGAAAGCTATCATAAATAAACAGAGAAATTCAAGAATAACAGAAATACTATTTGGCTGTATTTATCAGGCACATGCTGCAGTGTATAACAGTTTAGTATATAAATAATGCCTTTGTGTGTGCTGCTTTACACTTCCATTTAGAGTAATCATATCACAAAAAACAGGCTTAACATTAACAGTTCTCTAGTAGGTTAAATTACATCTCATGTACCTTTATTTTTATCCTTGCTTTGAAAGGTATCCTGCAAATTATAGACATTCTCTAATTTTATAGGTGCTTTTATACAAGAAGGGGCTTTGAGTCTTCAAATTTTTACTGTGCTTGGAGGTTTTTTAATAGTGCCAAACTGAATTCTTACAAAAGCTTCAAAAAAGTGCTAATTGAATAAAAACTTGTGAAAACAATGTTATTGTAGATCATATAGTATTTAACTCTTCAGCAAAATTAAATATATATATAGTACTACTATAATATATGTAATATTGTTGTGAAATTATTTTAATTTTTTTTGGTTTCTGTTCTTTTGTGTTTGTATGTTCTGCTGAGCCTGAGGAGGAGTTCAGGCTAGGTAGGCTAAGCTGATGTAAATTTATATGTGGTACATTGTCTGCCTTTCCCGGTACAGTTATTTGATGAGCATCCAGTGTATAATTTGTATAATTTAACTTTTTTTTTTTCGTTTTTTTTCTTTTTTTTCTTTTTTTTTTTTTTTTTTTTTTAATGAGAGAGAAATCAATAGTAGCAAATCAACTAATGTCTTAAATGATACCTATACATTCATTGACTTGAAACATTTCTGGTTGTTCATTCAATTTCATAAAAATAACCAAGTTTACATTTGCTTGATAGTATCAGTGGGAAGTGCTTGAACACACAGAGGGTGGGTGTTCTTCAGTCAGTTTTGTGTAAGCTCCCAACATCAAAGCCTTTCAGTATTTTCCTTTCTGCTGTTTTTATTTTCTTATTTTTAATGATATAAGTTTTTTTTTTTTGTTTGTTTGTTTGTTTGTTTATTTCATGGCATTTTTAGTTTTTATTTTTAATTTAACTGCAAGATGAAAATATCCTTGCAGTCTTTTTGTTTGTTCAGTAACAGGCTTTGCTTCCCACTCTGTTCTAACAAACTTTTGCTCTCTGATTCTAAAGCTCCAAGGGACTCTATGTCTCTGTGTATGAATATCTTGTCTTGCACTAGGGTCTGTGCTTTATTGCAACCTCACAGCACTGCCAATATATAAAGCTAAGTAATAATTAAAATACATAGAAAATCAGTTTTTCAGTAAATAAGTTATAAGAAATTTATAGGTCTGGCCCATAACTCTACTTTTTTTTTTTTTTTTTTTTTTTTTTTTTTTTTTTTTCCTCCTGGTGTGTGACAGTATAAAAATCTGAGGTGGCATTTACTAGGGATATGCAAAATTAAATTCAGTTTATTTTTCATACAAATTCAAAGTGGAAATGTGATCCATTCTGCTGTTCTTTTAACAAAACAACAACAAAACCCACACCAAAACAAGAGTCCCCCTCTTATGCTCAAACCTGATCCTGTTTCTGCTGAAGCCACTGGGACATCTACACAGAACACAATGTGGCACTACTGCTTGGAAACACCAAAGCTTGTTCTAAAGACCAATTATTCATAATTTAATATGACTTTATATTTGACTCAGTATTCTAAAGTCTGTCCCTATAGTTTAATTTATAGTTTAATTTATCTTCTAAAATGTGAAGCCTAGATTCTGCTTTAAGCTCTAAGCTGTATATAGCAAAATGAGCAATTTGCTGAATATTCAGTTCAAGGAAACTTCATTAATTAAGCCGGTCCTTGAAAACACAAGCCAATTGCTGATCCCCTATTGTGTGTGTGCGTGATTTCTGGAGTTAGCTGGTGCTATGTGGGTATCCTATCCAGAATGAATTATGGACACAACATGTTCAGGCTGGAGTTTAGGGGGAGCTGGCTTAGATTTTAGATTACAAGGAATGAGGAACAGTGGTATAAAGTATTACAGCATTCAACAGAAATACTTTGGTAAGAATGACATTGCCTAAGATATAGCCATAGATACACTGATATACTGGAGAACTTACAATAATACAGAAACATCTCTCTTTTCTTTGGGTGGACTAATACAGCAGCGGAGATGGATTTCACAAACACATAATCTATTGATGATATATGTTTTTGGTAATGCTTCAGACAACAAAAGTTCTTATAACAGTAGTAGCCTTTTTACAATATAAAGATAGTTCTATTGAAGTAGAAAACGTTGACATCTGCCACTTCATAGATTCTGACTGCACAAAAATATTTAAATGAAAATAATATCTAGTTCCTGCTACTTTATTTATCAGGTGTTTTTAAAGCCGAAAACCATAGCACTAGCCCACTAAAAAGACTTGCACAATCATGTTCTCAAACATTATCTGTACCTCTTTCTTCAGTGTCTAGCCATATCTGCCGAACTTGTTAGTGACAATGGGCTTGACAGCCCTGTGGTTAGCACTGAGGATTTGTTAATTCAGCCTTGGTAGCGAGGTTACTGATGAAATGGACTTGATGATTGATAGAACAACCTCACTGCTTCTTGCTAGCTGGTGGGATGATGTGCTGGCCAAGCCTGTAATGGAGGAGAGCAGAGCTGTCTTACCCTGCTCACAAGGTCAGGGTTTTGTGGTTCGGTATGTTCTGAACTGAGCAGGAGGTACTAAAGAAACTTAAGAGCCTCTCAAAACTTTCTGGAAGTTTTTAATACTTAACTGAAAGACCTATTTACATGCAACACTAAGTATTTCCAAAATGGGCAAGTTCCTTTCTAGGCCATTCCCATGCCATTCCCCCTCAATATGTGTTTGTTCTTTCCATGGCAAGCTTCTCTGTGGGAACACTTGTACTTCAGTGTACTGAAAAAAAGAGGCCAGTAAGATAAATCATTGCTGAAGCTATGCAAGCAAGCCCAAACCTGGGAATCCTCCTATATTCTCTGCATATTCTCTGCTTCTGTCACAGGTCCAAGCTGATGATCATCTAAACAGCAGTTCTGGTAAAGGAAAGGACTCTTGGCCTAGTATGTACTCTGAAACATCTTGATTAACTGTATAAACATAAAATAATTATTGAGCTGAGAAGCCAAATGAATCCCCACTGTGTCTGTAATGGTTTTGTTTGAATTCAGGTTAACCAGTGCAGATTATATTGTGTGATTTCAGATAGGCATGTAACGTGGAAGTGAGTAGAGTGTGAAACATGAGTCATATAAAGCACAATTGCACAATAAATAGAAATAAATATTCTGCATGTATGTGTCAAACATAATGCAATCTAACTATTATTCTGCCAGCAGAAAGTATGCATTCAGATAAGTCAGCAGCCTGTAACAGTGATAGCTCAGGAGGAGTGATTCCTGGATTTAGGGCTATAGGCTGTCCCCATTAATACTGGCTTGAGTTCCTCAAACCAGGAAAGTACAGGGGCAGACTAAAAGTTTGTCAAGCATTTTACTTTGGTTACCCTGAGAAGGAAAAGTGCTTAGGATACTTGTTTAAACTAACATCCTGTTGCATCTTATTTGTGTTCTTTAAGATAGTGGGCATTTGTTCTAAAGTACATATAACTAGTTCTTATTTTGGTATGGAATTAAAAAGGGTCAGTCTAAAGTTCCCCCAAAATGGTAGTCGTACAGGGCTAGATCTCACTTCTTCCTGCTCTCTTGGCAAGGGGTAGGTTCTTTGGCCTTCTCCTTCCTCCCCCTTGGTGGCCAGAGGCACAACAGACTTTTATCTAGTCTATGCCTCTTGCATGCTGGAGGTCAGATTAATTTAAAGTAGTTCAATGGGAGGCTGTGACTAGAAGGGCTTGATAACACTGACACTGCTGTGTGCCCCATACACAGGTTTCCAGCAAAATATTTTAAGCAAGAAGGTGGGCAGGGGGAGTGTGGGGCTCAGCAACTAGGTGTTTGTCAGCACTTGTGTTGACGGCAGCTGGATGGGTGAAGAAAATGGTGTGCCTGAGCTGAGGAGTAAGGCTAGCATCAACTAGCTCTTAGTCTGGGGCTCTGTGGGGTTGGCTGAATCTACAGGATCTGGCTGTACACAGTAACTGTGCTATGATCCAGAGGAGTTTGTTCTGCTGCTGCCCAGTTAGAGTTGCTAGAAGATTTTATCTCTGGTTTTATGTGGTTTTTAATACCTATCACTTTGTGGGGGTTTTTGTTTGTTTTAGGAAATGCTAAACTAGGACCCACTATCCTTGTCAGCTGATGATCATTCTCTTACCCTTTAGAACATTTTTTTCCCCCCAATCTTATTTGTTGCCTATCAATCCAAGGTTGGTCTTCTATTCAAAGCACACCAGCTGCAATCCTTTCCTGCCTTTCCTGGAGTAGCTCAGCCAGATGTGCATGTTCCTGCTTTTTCCCATGACACAGGTAGGCACAGGTGGCACCAACAGCTAGGATACAGAGTCTCTGAAACATGCAGGATTTGGCCCGAAGTGGTCAAAATCACCAACCAAACTTTTTTGCTCTATTTTTCAATGCAATACAGTCATAGAATATCATAGAATCATAGAATATCCTGAGTTGGAAGGGACCCTTAAGGATCATTTTTATCATTTGTGGTCACTACTGATTCTGCTGCTTTTTCTTCCTGGTGATAAGTGAGTCCTTTCAGTTAAATACTTAGTTATCACTTATACAAATGTGCTTTGTTTTTTCTACTGAACTATCTATTGTAGTATGGGATACTGGTGACCAAAGGGATCAGCAGGTGGTGAGGAAATGCCAGCTTAGCCCCTTCCCAAATACAAGATCATCTGTCCAGGAGGCAGTTACTTCTACAGTAGTCTTGCCATAGGTAAGGATCTGCAGATCTTTCAAGCAGCAGGAAAATACTGCTGTTTTTCCTATAGCAACTTTTAAGACGAACAATTTTGTGGCTGCATCCAGCAGGTGGCAAGCACAGCACACTGAATTATGTCTGAGAAAGAGTTACTTCTGGAACTGGAGGCTCCTGACTCAGTTTGACATACGTATATGTGTATATGAACAAAATGTTATACAGATGATGGCAAGCTCTGTTAGTCCCACATCAGCTTACTGAGCGCTAGGGCAGTGTTGCTGCTCTGGATGCTATTTATAATGCATGTGACTTATATTCTTTTTGAATGGCTGCCTCACATGCATGTGTAAGGATATAAGCTAAATAGAGAGTATTGTATGTGAGAACAATTTACCTGTCTCATTAAATGTCACATTCAGGTTTCATTTTTTTTTTTTTTTTTAATACTAGCTTTCAATTAAATAAACCTCCAAAGAAAGAGCATTTTCTGAATATACAGCTTTAGAAGTTGCAGAAGTCGCAGTATCTTGTGACATTTAAGTAGAAAATGGAAAATCCAGCCACTTGCTAGCTAAGCCACATTAAATATAATTATAAATATTGCAAATTCTTGAGGGTCATATATTTGCTTACATGACATGTAAAATTCTGGATTTTTTCTTAAGCTTTGTTATGTTGAAAAGCATTTATGAGCTCGTGTATCTCTGAAGAAAATAAATGGGAGTGAATCAAGAGCAAATATGAAAAGGATATATAAGGATATCATTAGCTGGAACTTCTTACAATGCTTAACGCCTTTTCCCCTTCATTTGTATGGAGAGTTTGAGCCAGACTTTTGTTCTGATTTATGTAGTATGCTCCTCATTCCAAGATCTGTTTTATATAAATGGAGAGTAATTAAGTAAAAGTCAATAATGAAGTTTGGTCTCCGTTGTTTAGTGATATGATTAAAAGCATTATTTGTTAAACTATAATATAATAATTGTCACACTTCTGCTTGTCAGTCTGAGTTTAAAAGCCCAGAATTTGAAAAACAGAGTGGATTTCATTAGCTGGTACTTTCAGAGTACTCTGGATATTTTACAAAAATAATTTGAAAGTTTCTGATCACCTTTGTCTCAGAACTCACGTTTCAAATAGTTTTTGACTTAATGACTAAAATTATGCTCCACAAATAATTTTCTTCAGAGTCAGCATGGCATATTATTGAGAAAGGTGAGTAAACCCCGTTCATGTGTCTGTGTGTGTATATATGTTACTACTATAAAAATACACACTGGGATAAAAACACTTATGAAACAACATTTGAAATCTATAAGTAGGAGTATAAATCTAAAAATGCATTTCTTCTATACTTAATAAATAAACCTGCTTTTTATTGCATATATTATGAACTTTTGTTATTTTTAAATGAGAAATAGTGGCACAAATTAGAATGAGACCAGTTTCAAGGTCCTGAAATTTCCATTTGTGTTTAAAGTTGGGCCTGTAGATACAGCATATATTTGAAAAACAAGTTATAATATAACTCTGATATATAACTCATGTTTTAAAAAAAAAAAAAAAAAAGAAAAAGAAAAGAAAGAAAGCCAAGCCGTTTAGCTCTCAACTCCTGGAACAAAACTTGGAATAGCTCATTTGTAAAACAGGTCCTTCATAATTCATGTAACTTACAAAAGCTTTTCCTTTAAGTTCAGAGATCTTTTTAGTTTTATCTACCCTTGTTTTGTAGTTCTGCGCAAATGGCAGGATGCTGACAAACTCTGGTGTGCCTGTCTGTCATACACATTGCTTTCAACAAAGATAAACAAAATGAAAATCAGGCAGTCCTCCACATACTCTAAAATAGAAGGCCACTGCTAAATCTTTTCAGTGTGATTTCTCTGAGGTGATTCAATGTTTCAGTAATGAGTAGTAAGTTGTGATGTTTGTGACTGCAGATGAATTTTGTCATTCTTGCTGCTTTGTTCACAAGGTTGTTCAAAAAAGTATATTATAAAACCGCATCACTTGGTTTCGAGAGACCCAGCAGCCTTTTTAGTGGGCAAGTGGATATTTTCTGGTGGTCTGTAGGAAAGGGAGCTCATCTTCGTTGTTAGACTGGGATGTGTGCTGACATTTGGTGGAATGTATTTTATTAGCTGAAGAAAGTATTTTTTAAAATTTTTTCCAAAGAAAACATAAAAAAAAGGATTCAAACAGTTGTTAAAGTAAGCAATGCAAATAGTGAAGGGCATAGCTGTATCCACAATATCAGTGATTTTGCAGTCTGTTATTACATGTAATTGAATTAATACATCAAGAAAAGTGAATACTTGATGAGGAATCCAGGAAAAGAAAAAGAAAAATACTATCGCCACAATCATCTTAAAGATATCATCATTTCTGGTCTTATTTCTTTGAATCTGATATGCCTTCTTTAGGGTTTTCCAAATTAAGGTGTAGCTTGTTAATATGATTAGAAAAGGAATTAAAAATCCCAGCAAATTTTTGGATAAGCCTAGCCCAACCCGAAGTGTTGTATTATTGTTGTCATACCGAAAACCACAGACTGTCATATTCAAGTTCTCGGCAAAGAATATATTACGGTGAATGATGACGGGCAAACTGGCCACACCAGCAAGAAGCCAGATGGCGATGCAAGTTATTCTGGCAACAAACATGGTACGCCGGATTCGTGACTTCACTGGATGTACTATGGCCAGGTAGCGGTCAATACTAAGGCATGTGAGTAGGAACACGCTGGCGTACAAGTTGAAACTTATTCCTGCAGATGCTAGCTTGCATAAACAATTGCCAAATGGCCACTGGTACTCCATGGCCGTGTAGGCTGCCCAGAGTGGCAGAGTTATTAAAAAACACAAGTCAGCAAGTGCCAAGTTTAGCAGAAAGATGCTGGCCACTGTTTTCAGTTTCATGTAGCAGTAAATGACAATAACAACTAGGCTGTTCCCAAATATGCCTATGATGAAGATGATACTGTAAACAGTTGGAACCATAATGTAGATGTAACTGTGCCTTCCTGAAATGGGACAGTCGACATGGATTCTTTTAACGGTTTCTTCGGTAGGATAGTTTGGGACCATCTTGACCTCTTGTACACTTGTTTCAGGGAAACAATGTGAAGTTCACACCTACAGGGCAAAGGTAAAGAGGGAGGAAAAAGTAATTCATAAGGTATTTAGTTATTTAAAAAAATTTCAATTAAATATCAAGATTTTCTGTTTAACTAGAGATATAATTCAGTGTAATAAATTCAATTTCTGATTAATAAGTTATGGAAGAGTAAGAAATCAACTTTTCGTTAACAGACTGCTACCTATGGCTTTCAGTTGAAAACTGGATTATAGGCCCAATTGCTAATCAGTACTCCTCCTGAAAAACTTTTAATGGAAAGCAATGAAAATGTTTTTTTTTGCCCTCTTTATTTTTGTTCACAAAAGTTTTTTTGTTCACAAAAGCCACACAGTATGATCTACTTATGTTTTTTCTTTTTTTTCCCATGGATGCATCTTATGGCTAATGCTACCAGTATTTCATACTGTTTCTTGATTTTTATAATTCCTGGGCCGTATCCTGCTCCCATTTTCTGTGTAATCACAATTCCCTTCCAAAAACATGAGGATATGTTTCTCTTTCTAGATCTGAATAGAAGCAGTAATCAAGTTCTAAATCTGAAAGTTGTGAACTTGCAGTTCATTCCCTGTGGAGTTCTACCCTAACACCACAGATATCAGCTGGCTTAATTACGAAGCATGTGTTTGTCTGGAACTTGCATTGTCTGGATTCAGAAATTCATGCCACACAATTCTGTTGGATCATTTTTGTTTGGAATGCAGGCAGATGGAACCAGTAGACACAAAATTAACCAAGTTTCCTTCACTTTGCTTTTCTTCTGATATGGCATGAAAGACCAGATTATTCATGACGGTCTTGATACAATGCCTATAGCAGGAGCTTTATCAGTGACTCTGTAGGGAGTTGGAAGTGAGCCATTGTTCACAAGTGCAGTATGTAACAGTTCAGTAGTTAAATAAATAAATCCCAAACCAGTCCAAGGCAAACAGCATACTGATTCTCAGATCACAAAAACCAAGGGGAATTTTTTTTTTTGTATACCAGGTGTCATATGGGGGGCCAAGTTTAAATGTTTTCAAAACTGATTTCTATTTTAATGTAGACTTTGTGGAATAAAACAGAGGTAATAATGTTAGGAGTTCGGTGTACATTGTTAGATTATTTTTTAATGTAAATGAAAGCCAACAAACTTCTTTCAATTACTTAATAAGTTTACAGTTCAAAATACAACTAGTTAATGAACATATGTTGTAACAGAGACTCAAAGTACCAAACGAATGTACAGTTATCTAGGTTATTTTTTTCCATAGATAGGTGCTATATCTCATGAGCAAAGTTATTCGGATATCTCAGAAACTACACTTAAGCATTAAGATGTTGCATTAACAAAATAAATGAATACAGATTCATTTTTTTTTTAATACAAATTAGTTTTTTTTTCAACCAACCAACCTCCCCCAAAAACCTTTTTAAAGTTTTAATAGGAAAGTGAAGCATAGAGTCACCTCAGCAAAGTCCACATAGGAAGCCTGTAGAAAAGCCAGGGACCAAACACAGAACAGGGGTTGCAGTCAGTACCTTTTGAGCAAAGTATCCCTGTGGCTCTCACTTTATTATCTTTTAAGATTTTATATTAACGTTTATTATCATAATCATTATATTCATTATATTGCTATAATTTATAATTATAATTTTATATACAACTCACATTATATATCAATATATTTAATAATAATATAAAATTATTATTATATGATGTTATATAATATATAAATATATATATACTCGATATAATTTAGAAATATATTTTTATATTTATTATATTATTATTGTTTCTGTCTTATTTTATGTTCGATTATTAGGTCTGCATTAGTTAGCTGATTCATTTCAATTAAGCTAACAGTGCACTTTCAAGATGTAGGTTCTTGCTAATTCTATCAGAATTGGAATATCTAGTTAACTGCAACCAGTGACAAACCTTTTGTCAAGATACGCAGTGCAACACCTCCCAACATCTCCAATTCATTATGTGAATTTGTCTTGTTTCCTTGGTTGGTGAAGATGGCTCAATATGACATCAGCGATTTTAACCATGTTTAAGACATTAAAAAGTCAAGCAAATGCATCTCACAAAAACAAATGTGTGCCATTCTGATCATGTGTGGCAGTGTAATGCATCCTGAGCTCAACCTCCTGCTTTCAAACTGTGCCAAATCTAGAGTAGTTGGTGTTTGCCTCTGTGGAATGTCATGCTGCCTGCAGAACAGGGAGAGACAACATAAAAAGTTTGCAAGATCAAGAAATTCTCATATCTCAACCCTTGGTTATGGAAGTGCCCAGGAAGGTTTGACAATAACTGGTAGATTCCACAATGCAATATTTGCCTTGCTGCAAAGGTGCTGTGTGGTTTATTCACTATAGAAGCCTTTGCTCACTTATATTCCCATTGAGATAATGGCCAAAGTAAGTAGTAAGAAACCAAAACGAAGTCTCCACCAAGAACATGAGCATTGCAAGCCAGACATGCGGTAAAGTAGACCAGGGCGCAGTTAAGGCTGAGCAAGAAATTTCTCCATGACTGTGGTTATACACATTTTATACAAAGCAGGTATTTCTGTATGAGAAGTACTGATGTGTTTGAAAATGTTGCAACTGAAATTGTGCACATTGGTAATACCATTTAAAGCATCTGAAATGACCTGAGTTAATATAATGATAATTGGATCATTTGAAGGCTGATACACAAGGAGCTTTTTCCAAGAGGTTTGAATTGATGTGATTGTGAATTGTATGTCAACATCCATCTCAAACCATATTATCTGGAGAGCAGCAAATCCCTGTTGTATGCTACTGTCCTGTGACCTTTTATCTACTTTTAATTACGATGATTATAAGAAGTCACTGATCGTGAACTGATTCAGACTGCTCTACCAACTATTATTTATCTTTCTGTTCATCGCTGCTTTTGGGTGAGCATGCATCTTAATAAAACTGTCTACTGAAACAAGGAATGCTGGGTCTGTGCAAGTTAAAAAGCACTCTGCCTGGTGAAAGATAAGATCACACTGACCATGGCTTTCTGTGAGAACTTGATCAGATATCAGGTACACAGATGTCCCAAGTCAATTTTTAAACAAAAATTTGTTTTGCATACTTGCTTTGACAGACTAAGTAAACTCTGATTGACCAACCCTGCCACAGTTTAGCCACCCTGCCATTAGGTAATGTGTTTTTTTCCTTCTGATGGTAGGTGGATTATTTGCTTTTCTTACAAATGAGAAGATACTTCTCTTTGAGGATGATGCATTCTAATTTTATAAGATTATTACACAGGTAGAAGAGAGGCTGTGAAATGTTTGGAATCATACATTCAATATATTAACTATGTTCACTTCCTTCTTGTGCCATAAGCTTTTTTCCTTTATCTTGGGAGTTTAGCTCCCCTCCCCTTCCTAATTTCTTGCATTTTATTTTTCTAATTGTTGAGAAACTAATGATACCTCCCAAATGTCTCATCTCACTACATTTTTTATACCCAACAGAACAACCCCCTTTATCACCACTGCCTTAATACCAGTCCTATACCTACTTCAGACTCTCCCCTGCATGGGTTCTTGAGCACTACTACTGCTCACCTGGCAGTAGATTATATTCCACAAATGGCCTGCATCAAATGGAGAAGGAGTCTGTTCAGAGAAAGAATTACTGTTTAACAAATATGGATTTAGAAGATAAATGAATATAAACGTACTGACTGCAGTTCCTGTCTGAGCAAATATTCTGGTAGAAAACCTGTGCTCATGCAATTATAAAACCATGCTCCAGAACTGAAGGAAGAAATACTCTTTGGGAGCCCCGTGGCTGTTGTCACTTGTATGCAGATTCCCAGTGGAATGGCAAAGCTGAGCTTGCTGCACTCCCTAGTCCTGTGGCTCCAAACCAGTCTCATAAGTGAAATCTGTTCACTGCAGCATATGCCTATTGCCAGTCTATTCCCAAGGTGTCACGTAGCAGCTCAAGACAGAAATGTTTTTAATTTCTTTAATTTGGAGATGCCCTTATCCTGTGGTTTTGATGGTGTGCTAGAACAGCACTACATTCTCAGGTTTCTCAAAGTGAATGTTCCAGCCTCACTTTCACTGAAATTGTAAATATGAAAAAGTATTTTTAGTCCACAGTTGATATGTGAAATGAGGAGGGTGAGAGCAATGCAAACACTTGGGCAAACAAAGGCAAACAAAGGCTGGTAATTCAAGCTAGTGTGGCCTTGCTGTGTGCATAGGCCTCCTGTCATCACTGCCTCTATCTTCCACAGAGGTCATCTGACTTCATGGTAAATGACAATAAATCAAAACATTACTGAAATGGAACTGCATTGGCAGTATAGAACTGGAACACTGCCAGTGCATTGGTTCATGAGCAACAAGAACAGAAAGCAAGCTTCAAAAGATTCTTATTAGTAACTGTCAAGTTGGCTGTTGCTTTTGCAATTTTGGATCAAAAGGTGGTTTGATATGAGAACAAGTAGAATTTAGAGGACCTTGTAATTGGCTGTGCGTTTCCTTTGAATAGCTGTCCTATTCAGTCTTGCATAAAGGAACAATCAGTCTGAAATTGCTGTCAATTTTGTGGTGTTTTGTTTTGGTAATCTTCTGAGTCACAGTACTGTGTTTAACTTTTTGCTTCAGAAGTATGCTCTGAATATACAGTATTAGCTTTATAAATGTGTATTTTTATGACCTATGCTAATATATTTCCAAATAACTATATTATACTCAATTATTACTCTCACTTATTCCATAAGCTAAGTGGAGCCTTATCCATATTCATGTGTTTCACAGGAGAGGGGCCCTGATCTGAAATAAATTTTAATTAACTTATGCTTGGCTTACCCTATGCTAACATGCAGCAGTTAAATGTTTTCAGCAATTAATTATTTTAACTATTACAACTAAGAATCATGTAGAAGCGAGGTGTACTAGCGTTTTCTTGCCAGTCTTAAGGTGCAGAACTGTATATATATTTTAAAAAATTACTAAAAATATTTATATTTTTT